TCTTTATTGAAGTGTTGTTTCATTTCCTATATTTTCTCTCGTAATTCATTCCTTAGATTTTCTTTAGTTAATTGAACATTTTACTAATCAGTTTTTTTTTACAATCGTTCTCTGGAATTTTGTCCACTTCCGTATCTGCAGGACCCTTTGTTGGGGGATGTGATTTTTGGGGGTAGTTTTGTTTGCCTGTTTCCTCAGGTTTTCAGAGGTCTTGGACTTGCACATCAATTGAAGTAGATTCTCTTTTCTATTTATATACCTGTCCTTTTGTGTGTAGCTATTTGGGAGGGGGTCAATTCTTTGTGTTTTTATATATGAGTAGATTTCAAGGGATGGAACCTGAGGTCCCCCACTGGTTGTTCCTCCTTGATCCTGGTCGTTCCTCCTTGATCCTGGTCGTTGGTTTCAGATTTTTGTCTCCTTAATTGTGATTTAAAATAATATTAAGGTTCAGGTGGGGTTAGGTCATGTGTGAGGTGGGGGCCATTGTTGCTTGACTGAGATGTGAGATTTCTCTGTATCTCTATTCTGTGATTTTTAAGTGTACAATATTTAAAAAGTGATCAGAGGAGAGGCAGGAGATAGGTAGCAGATTTGGGTGGTAAAGAAGAAGAAATGAAAAATTAACAGAAAATATTTAAAAAGAGAGGAAGAGGGAACAGGAATATTCAGTGCACATGGGCGTAAGAGTGGTGAAGGGGAAATAGTAGGGAAAATAATCAAGATATGAACAAACCAGCAAATGTGAGATCAAAAAAACTCAAACCCTTGTGTAATTGTACTGCACTTAAGTCAAATCAAGGTTAAATAATAAACGTGTGCAGAAGAAACTTGTTAATGTGAAAGTAAATATATAAATATTCATGCAGTAAGAACACATAACCATACATACTCTCTCTCTCTCTCTCTCTCTCTCTCTCTCTCTCTCTCTCTCTCTCACACACACACACACACACAAATATGCATAATGGAAAAAAGTTTAAAAAATACAATATTCTAAAATGATGTTTAAAAATTTTTCAAGAGTTAAATTTAAAAAAAAGTAATAAGTGGACATATAGAGAAAAAAGAGATGAGGAAAAAGAAAAAAAAAGAGAAATAGAAGGCTTGTTTCCACTATGGTGGTCAAACCTGCTTTGCAGGAATGGGTTTTCATTCTTTATATTTATTTAAGCTCTATAGCCCTTGAATCAAGGGCTGGGGTTATTAAGTTCAGTATAAGTTGGGAGAGACTGGGGAGTGCTGGTGAATTGTGTAATGCTGTAGTGGGGGTGATGCATATTTCTACATTGGAATTCCAGAAGTTGGGGTTTAGTCTTGGGTGAATTTTGGAACTCTGGTGGTGGGTATTTGAGATTTAATCCACACTTCATATTGTTAGGGAGCTGCCAGTCTGTGCTGGACATCTGGATGTCTGGGGCCTCCAGTAAAAGCCATTTTTAGGTCATAAAGTCTAACCCTCTACATTTTTCACCTTCAATGCTATGAATGTGAATTACCAGGTGGCCACTCTGGAGTGTAGACACTCCTGTGTAGGCACTATAGGTGTCTTCCTAATAACTCTTCTGGGATGCCAACAACAAAGGTTTTCTTTGTGCCTGTTTTATTCACTCTGGTTCAGGCATATAATGAAGGTCAGAATATGCAGCTGCTGTCTACTTCCTTGATGTGTCCCTGCTTTGTCTCTGCTCACTACTGGGCAGTATTAATTAGTAGTTCCCTACTGGGCCTGTAGTCATCTCTGGGCCAACAATCTCAGATCCTGCTGAGCTATCTGTTCAGGGGTCCTGGCAATTATTGACTTGTTGCAATGAACCACTTTCCCCACTGACTCTGTGTTCATTAAATTTAGCATTCTGCTCTAATATAAAGGTTCCCCCAAGCCAAACAATTTTTTTAAACATTAACTTTTTTAACAATTAATTAATTTATTTTTGTTATTATTTGCCATGCCATCTTCTCAATGCCACTTGTGGGGAGCCACCCCTGAGCTATCTGAGAGGTTTTCACTAGGCCTTGAGCCAAGGAGATTTTGGTTTGGTATTGCAAGCTATTTTGTGTCTCCTCCCACTCAATGGATTGCACAATGCATGTGACCTCTGTCTTCCCTGGGCTAAGAAGACTGATCTCATAGCTCTAGAATTGGGCATGACCCATAAACTGGACAGCCCACCTCCTATCTTATTTGGTGAAGAACATTCTGTAGAAAGCCTTTGAAGTTTCCTTATATAAATAAAACAAATGAGGGTTCTCTTACTCTTTCCAGTGTGGAAATCGACCCATAAGGTGAAAGAGCCCTCCTGCCCTCCCTTTCTAAAATTCCTTTCTGTGTCCTGTGTTGTTGTTTTTTTTTTCTACCTTCTTTTCTTAGCTTTATTTTACAGCCAGCCTGCTTCACAGAGAGGAACCCCAAATTCTATTGCCTGTGCAGGGACGTGGGCAAGAGCCACTGCTTCCCCCTCCTTTCTTTGGCCACCCTCAGAAAAGCTGGTGCATTTCTAATGCATTATTTTTTACATTCTATTCAAAGTTTCTGACATTCTGAGTCTCCACAATATCATTTACAGTCTAATACTGAATTTGGGTGAGTTCCCTTTGTACCCACCTCACTGGGGAGCATTTTTCCAAAATTGTTAATCTGGTGCTGAGGAATTATGGGAGATGCACCCTTCCTCTAATCTGCCATCTTCTTTCCTAATTTTCTCAACTTATTAAAGGACTTTTATGTTCTTCAATTATATTTTGAAGTTTCTTATATTTATCTTCAATTGAATTTCTCTTTTGTTACATGTTTAATTTCTTTTGTGTTCATTTTTATGAGAATTCTGAATACAAAGAAATCATTGATTAATAGCTAAGATGTTCTTCCTCTCAAGGTGTGGTTAATTTTCAGTGTATATACATTGTTTAAACAATGAGAATTTATTTTATGAAGCTAGCCAAACCTTGATCCAACACCAAATATTATAGCATAATAAAAAAGTACTAATTCTTGAACAGAGATGCAAATATATAAATTAAGAACTTAAAAAACAAGACAGTTTATTAACAGAATAATGAATTTTGATTTCTAGAACTCTATTCACTTAAATAACATATTTATTCAAAATGGTCAACGATTATCTTCTATGTGACAAACTTTGACCTGAGAACTTCTTCCATTTAACAGCCATTTAACAGCCTTTAGTATGAAGGAGCTCAGTTTCCATATGTTATCTCTACACACCAGGTCCAATTTTATCCAAAAATTGATCAATAATTACTGGATCTTAGAGGGGCATTGTCAAGGGACAGTGTGTGTAACCTCTCTTTGCTCTTGTCTTTCTCTTTACCTCTCCTCCAAAAGCGTTTGATGCCATCATGAGGCTCATTTTGCACACCCCAGGCCTTCTGTGCTTCATCAATGTCCCACAATACCAAATCTTCCTTATCTCTGATTTACTCCTTGCATGTCTAACCCCACTTTCTCATGCCCTAAGATTGAATTGGTGGTGGTTGAGTGGTTGGTTAATGAGCAATCCTGTATTGTAACTTTCTTATATTTTCATTTGGAAAGCAGGGATGTGTGTAGAAATCTTTAGGGAAGAATCTTTTCAATTAAAAAATATACTTTAAATTGTAGTAAAATATGTATAACATGAAGTTTTTTACTCCACCTTTGCATGCGCACAGTCCAGTGGTATTGAGTACAGTCACACTGTTGTACAACCACAAATCTGTGCAAAGCTTTTTACTTTGATAAACTGAAACTCTATGCTATACTGTTCTGTTCCAACACAGTATGATCCCAACCTATTTTCATTCTTGTCATCTATCAGAATAGAATTTTTGATTTTGTGTGTGTGTGTATGTGGTGCTGGGGATTGAACCCAGGGCCTTGTGCATGCAAAGGAAGACTCTACCAACTGAGCTATAGCCCCAGCCCCAGAATAGAATTTGTAACTAATTTTCCAGAATTTCTAGACTAGCTCTGTGTCAGTTTCTGTCAATGTGACTGTGAAGGCTTATGTAAGGTGGTGGAGAGGAAGGGGTATGTGAACTCAATAATATTTGGGCCTGGGTATCATTTTTTTTCTTTTAAAAAGTATGATTATTAATATATATTAATTGTATAAATTTTAATGAATTTCACTGTGACATTTCCATACATGAATATAATGTGCTTTGATCCTGAACAGTTCTCCATTGTTTAACTCTCCATTACACTGTACCGTGACCCCTCCCACCAGGCCCCTTCATCTTCTGATTGTCACTTTTCTACTTTTAGATATTTTTTTTTAACTTTTTAAAGTTTCTTCATATGAGAGAAACCATGTGATGCTTGTATTTCTGCATATGGCTTCCAAATGATATCTGGGCCTCAAATTTTTACTTGCGTCTGTATCTCAGAAACTATTAACAGGTTGACTCTGGTCTTAGGAGCTCCTTTATCTGAATCTGTGGAGAGAGAGCTCCAAGAATCATGATCTTTCCCCTAACAGTGATTTCTCAACCAAGGCCACCTAGTCATGTTTTTGGCTTCATTTAACAAATTTGAATTGTGCACCTAGTAAATGTCAATTAGTGCTCTATATGTGGGGCACAGTGATAAAAAAATACACAGTCACTCTATAACAACTTGACTTCTTATTACTTTCTATAATGCTCTCATGACTTTCATGGATTATAGGTTGGCCCACAATTGATACCTGTGCTTATAACAGCCTGTATTAAAATGCCTGTATTGGTAACTTCTGGGCTACAGAGACACCCTGGGATGGTCTACTAAAGCATTTACATATCAGGTAGAATCCCCAAAATAAAGAAGACCTTAGTGGTTATTATACCTGTGCATTACATTTACAAGGGCTACCTGAAGACAGATGTGTGCTTATGAATAATGTCAGGGATTGGAACACAGCTGAATTCTAGAAGGAGTCCAGGAAATCGTTTCCCCCAGGTTAGTCCCTGCCCACTAGGGGGTGCAGCTCCCTAACACTAGCTCACTTCCTGTGTGAATTGCAGGTTTAGGTTCATCATTTCACTATGACTTCAACATTCTTCAGGTTAAGAATCAAGAACATTATTTAACTGACTCTAAAGATGAATGCCTCTCCAGCCTTAGTGACTGTGATGCTCTTGATACTTGGTAAGTGAAATGACTTTTAAAATTTGGACTCTTTCTTCTATTGTTTCAGAATACTCTTTAACCATGATTTTTTTTCTGAGAGTTTTATCACCAAAGTGACACAGTTCTCTTTTCCCCTCAAGGAAAAACTCATGCAGACTCAGTGACCCAGATGGAAAGCCATGTGACCATGTCAGAAGGGGCTTTGTTGACTATAAACTGCACTTACTCATCCACAAGGTACCCTGCTCTTTTCTGGTACGTTCAATACCCTGGAGAAGGTCTACAGCTCCTCCTGAAAGCTGTGAAGACCAATGATAAGGTCAGCAATAAAGGTTTTGAAGCCACATACAATAAAGAAGCCACTTCTTTCAACTTGGAGAAAGCCTCCATCCAAGAGTCAGACTCGGCTGTGTACTACTGTGCTCTGGGTGACACAGTGGCAGAAACTGCAGGGGGAGCTGAGCACAAACTCTGAGCAGCCACCAGGGGCCTGGCTGCTGAGCGTCTGCCTCTGGTATCCATCCTGGTTTCAGCACAGTTTATGGTGTCTGCAACAATGTTTCTCTGGTTGAGGTAAAATCAAACAAATATCCAGAGGAGAAGAACAAAGAGTGGATGTCTTTTAACTAGGATCTTCATTAGTCAAAGGGAAGACAGAGGCCGACACCATTAGTTCCTCATGCCCGGCCAAAGTAATTTCAAGGTAAAATCACTCGAACAATGAAGTGGTCTCTTTGATCATCCTTGGCAACAAAACCCAGACCCCATGTGTTGTTCCAGGTCACCCTGGTAGACATTTCTGTGGCTTGTTATATTTTTAGAGAGATATAACAGAGAAGATGGCATGTGCACAAGGTCTCCCTAACACAGAGTGGAAGGAGAGGTGGTAAGAGAACCAGAGGCCCCACCTCTGAAATCCACAAGTGGTAATAGAGTAAGAGGGAAAAGAAGAAAGGAGGAGGAACAGACCTCACATGCAGCAACAGTGCAATAAGGGGAAAGGGACTTTCCTCATGCAGAGGATGGGCATCTGTTTTGGTTAATCAGATGGTAGCCATAGGCTAGTGTTAAAAAGAAAGGGAGGGAGGAAATGCACAATTAAAATATGACCCATGGTTAAATGATGAGCAGCCCTGGACACTTACATAGTTCAGTTTCTTTCCAAAAAGGCCAACATGAGTCAGTTTGCAGTGCCCGTGGAATGTTAAGTATGTGTGTGTGTGTGTGTGTGTGTGTGTGTGTGTAGATATTTGTAACTTCATGAAACCCCATTAGAAGGCAGTGAAGAAACTCCAAAGAGCATAGACACTCAGAATGTAGGAAAGAAGATAATGGAAGTGGTGTCAACTGAGTCTTAGAGAGTGAGAAATTCATTGAGAAACTTGCATCACAGGCCAAGTAAAGATGGAAGCTGTGCCTAATGAGAGAGGCCACCAAGGAGCATCGCTTGGGTTCTGTGCCTTTATGGAAGGGTTAGGAGTCAGAGCACCAGTTACCCTTAGACCACTGGAGAAAGTGGTGCTATGTGTGTGTGCGTGCATGTGTGTGTGTATATGTGTGTGTGTGTGTGTGTGTGTTTTAGAGATACTTGAAAAGGAGAGGTTGGAAAAAGAGAACCTTGTAAGAAAGTGATCTAGTGACAGTTACATATGGTGTTCACCACAGTTTGCAGAGAAAGGAATGCTTACTTCCCCAAACCCAACAGAAAATTAGACATGTCTTTTATGAATTGAGGAACATAAAAGTAAGAAATTCAAAAAAATATTAAAAAGAAGAACATGGTAGTCAATTCTCAATGTAGGGAAACAACACAGTGTTTAAGAAGAAGGACATACTCAGATTAGTATTAGTTGTTCACAAAATTGCTGCTGTATCCCTCAAAACTGTAAATTCCCAAACCTTTTGGCCTTGGCTTATAAGAAAATATATATACACACACACACTATGTATACATATATATATACATATATATGTATATATATATGTATATATATATACACACATATATATGTTATTTAATTATAAATCAGATGGAGTTTTATTTAGCATATTAAATTATTTACAGTTCTTCATAATGTCCATTTAGATAGCTGCCCATAGTTTAATGTTATTGTCTCTGATCTTCACATCCACATTTGTTCTACCAATCATATATTTACAAACCCTCACTCTTTTTTTAAAAACCTTACTTTTTTTGAGTAGTTTTAGGTCACAACCAAATTGAAAAGAGGTTACAGAGATTTCTTACATACCTGAACCCAGCCCTCCCTGGCCACCCCCAGCCATGTCCATGATCAACACCCTCCTACAGAGCAGTTCACAGCAATGAACTCCGCTCCCACATCATTGTTACCCAAAGTCCGTGGTTTTCATTAAAGGTCACCTTTGTGTTCCTGTATCATCTGGGTTTGGACAAATGCATAACGACATATATCTACCATTACAGAGTAAAGTAGAATACTCTCATTCATGAAGACTTCCTCTGTGCAGTTAGAACAGTTAGAACTGTTCATTTAATTCCAAGCACGAACCTTTGGGAATTTTTGATTGTCACTGTTGTTTGCGTTTTCCCAATTGTCATTTAATTGAAGTCACAAAATATGTTGATTTTTCAATTGTTTTAATTCAGAAATATACATTTAAGTTTTCTCCATGTCTTTTATGACTTGATATCTCATTTCTGTTTAGTGCTGAATAATATTCAATTTTCTAGATATATGTTAGTTTATGCATGCATTCATCTCCAGAGAGGTATATTGGTAGCTCCCACTCTGGGCCATTAAGAATAAAGATGCAATACACATCCAGTGCAGGTTTTGGTTTACACATATGTTTTCAAGCACTCTGGGTAAACATCAAGAAGGGAAATTGCTGGATCACATGGAAAGAGCATGTAAGAAGCTGCCAAACAGTCTTGCAAATACAGATACTTTTGTATTTTCATCAGCACGAATTAATTACTATTCTTTAATTTATCCACACATGCTAGCAAGTGCTCTACCACTCAGCTACAATTTCAGCCCCATATACTTATTTTCTATTTCTATGTATTCTTTAATGGGTTGTTTTTTATGGTTGAATCTAGAAGATTGTTTGCATATTTTGGATAACAGACCTTTATCAGATGTGTGTTTTGCAATGTTTCCCCAAACTATGACTTGTCCTCTTATTTTTTTGGCACTGCTTTTCACAGAACAAACAATTTTAATAAGATCCAGCTTATCCATGATTTCTTTCATGGATCTTGCATTTATTTTTGTATATAGTAGAGCAATACCACATGCAAAATGACCTGTGTTATCTTCTTGAAGGTTTATAGTTTTCATTTTATTGATAAGTCATTCATGTTCTAATGACCTACTGCTGTCTTATGAGAAGTGGCCCCAACTCCTACCATGGCTGCATTGAAGATTAAGTTTCTAACACCTGGGCTTTGGGAACACATTCAAAGAATGGCCAGATCACTGAGAAATCAACCATTTTCTTTGGACTACAACATCATAACCCATCAATAATTTATAATTATATTATTGTGAAATGTAACATGCTTAACAAAGTATATAAAAGTTATACATTGCTGGTGGGAATGCAAATTGGTGCAGTCAATATGGAAAGCAGTATGCAAATTTCTTGGAAAACTTGGAGTTCAACCAACATTTGATTCAACTATCCCACTCCTTGGTTTATAACTAAAGGACTTAAAAATAGCATACTATAGTGATACAGTCACATCAATGTTTAAAGCAGCACAATTCACAATAACTAAATTGTGGAACCAACTTGGATACCCTTCAGTAAATGGATGGATAAGGAAAATATGATATATATTCACAGTGAAATATTACTCAACATTAAAAGACAATAAAATAATGGTACTTTCAGGTGAATGAATGGAGTTGGAGAATATAGTGCTAAGTGAAGTTAGCCAATACTAAAACACCAAATGCTGAATGTTTTCTCTGATATAAGGATGATAATTGTGGCAGTGTGGGAGGAATAGATAAATTTTAGACAGGACAAAGGGGAGGGAAGGGAAGAGGGGATGGGTGTAGGAAAGATGGTGGAATGAGATGGACATCATTACCTTAAGTACATGTATGAAAACATGAATGGTGTGACTCTACTTTGTGTACAACCAGAGACATGAAAAATTGTGCTCAATTTGTATAATATGAAATGAATTGCATTCTGCCATCATACATAACAAATTACAATTAAAAAACTTAGAAGTGTAAATAAAAGTATATAAAAGTTATAAACAATTCATACATATTATTTTGTTTATAGATTTAAGACTATCATGTATATGTCAGTATGTATTTATATAGACATGTATACTCCTATCTATGTATAGATTCTTTTTGGGAAATTTGTTAACAAAATTGTGGGGACTGCCAATTCCAGTTTCTGTAAGCAGGTCATTGGGCAGGAGACCCTGTGAAGAATTGATTCTTCAGTCTCAAATCTGAAGACTGGAGATACAATTTCTTCTTTCTTGGAAGAACTCAGTATTTTTCTCTTAAAATCTTCAACTGACAGATGAGGTCCACTCACAGATGGAGAGTAATTTGCTTTTCTCAAAGTAAATGTTGATCATATCTAAAAATAGACTAGTGTCACAAAATATATCTGGGCACTGTGATCTAGCCAAGTAGACCTATAAAATTTACCTTCGTATCCTCTTTGCCTCCAATAAGTCCCTTCTAATTACGTGCCTTGCCTTATATGAGGATAATATAGCAGCTTTCTTTTTATTTTGTATGATTTTTTTTCACTATTTTGCTTTTAAGCTGTCTGTGAATTAAATCTCAAATGTACAATAAACATTTCTTCTTTAGACTTCCATGTGTTCATTGGCTTCCTGTTCATTGAAGAAATAGAAGCAGGAGTTTTCAAAGCTTCAACACTTACCACTTACCAGCAGATGTGCTCACATACTCCACCTTTCCTCTCATCACAATGGCATCTCATGAGAGCAGGGCTTTGCTGACCCTTAGCACATATCCCCATACCCGAAAACAGTATGCCCTTGAAAATAGTTGCTGAAATCATAATGGATGATTAAAATACTACTATCTCTACCAGAGCAAAACTACCCTTAATCCATTCATTCAGTAAAATTTTATTATGTACTTATTTACTGACAGGCTGTACTCTAAATTGAAGATGTAGTGGAGAGTAGAACAAAGAAAAATCTCTGTTCTATCAAGCTTATATTTTAGTTAAATGCTTAGTTCATGATAACCACTACCATTACCCCTTTATACTGTCATATGGAGACAGAATTCAAATTGAGGCCCCCCTAATATACGTCTTACTAATCCACTATACTTATGCAGACATATACTGGCTAATATTTATATTCCCCATTTCCAGTAGAGAACAGGAAACCTGGAAAAAGGATTAATGTAAGATTTTGATAGCTCTAGCTCTTAGGATTTTGGTAAAAGAGTCCTGCACTGGGATAGGTGGAGGGAAGAGAAAGGAACTGTCTTCTAGTTCACCTGGGATTCACACAGGAGTAAAGAAGGGAGGCATATTAGAAAGCATTCTGACTGGGAACTGATCTCTTGAATCTCATGGTGCCTTCTGAATAGTACAGTGGTTAAACCCAACTGAAGAGAGTCCCTCACTACTCTTCAATGAGAGGATAAACTCCTCACTGCAGTTATGCTGTGAACCACTTTAACAAGTGAAGGTGGCACAATTAGAACAGAGAACAGCTGTTTGGAAGCATCTATGAAAAATGTGGTGGCAGTCTTCATTCACTTGTACATTGAACTCATATAAGCAGATCTTAAAGTGTGTTATCTCTCTTTATAGGCATTGGGTATATGAATATTGAACTTAGCATATAAGCCTTCATGGAGTCACCTTTACTGATGATTCTCTACTTCATAGAATGGAAAAAAGTCTATATGATAAAGGTTTTTGAGAAACTGCAGCAGAAGTTTAATTTTGTCTTCCTGATTCATTATTCCAATGGATGTGGGGTTAGAGATCAGTGATTGCTGAATGGATTTCAACACTGAAAGCAAGATTTTAGAAGCCTGTTTTTCCTGAGCTGCAGTGGTAAACTGCCTCCCATAGCAAAGCCATTGCTGGCAGAGGACCTGCTAGATGGTTCTTGGTAGCAACAACCCATGTTGTTCTCAAAACAACCAGGTTAGTGAAGACGTACAGGCTGACTTAGGGAAAAACAAATGTATGAAACTTGATCTTTTATTTGACATTAAAATGGTAAGGATAAAAAAATACCATCTATGATGATATTGACAAATAATATTAAAAGTTATTGGACATTATTTTAAATCAGTCTAAGAATATCTTTCTGGGAGCAAGGACTACAGATTGAAGGTGTTGTGGAACCTTGATCAACATGGGCTAGATATGTTTTGTGAAACCATCAGTGGAGAAGGGGAGGCTCAGCACACTATGACAATGTTGAAGGGATTTCCTGCTCCCATCAGAGTGTCCTGTATTCCAGAGGGCTTCCTTCCCTGAGCAGGTGAACAGCTGAAGCTGAGCCCCTGAACATCCAGGAGGAATCACCATTACCACCTACTGCAAAGAC